AGGAGTAGAGAGAGAGAGAGAGAGAGAGAGAGAGAGAGAGATCCTTCTTTGGTGCTTCTAAACCATCTATCTTTTTTTTTGGTAGCTATTAAAGAGCTGACTCCATCTTGGTATAATTGATAGCTTCCTTCACAATTTGCAAGAGCTTTCTATGTTTATCTAACCAAAGTGCAGTTTTTGAATCTGGGTTGACTTTATCTTACCTTTGAGAACTCTTGTCAGATGAAGACAGCTGCCGATGTGTGTGTTAAATATGATATGAACCGAAGAGAGAGGCCTTGAGGAGGCGAAGCATGGGATTTTTCTTCCATTGTTGGTTTGTTTTGCCCAATCCTTCTCAGTGTATGAAGTCCCATACAAGAGATTTTCAGTGGACGTGGTTTGACAGCTTCAAATATTTATGAGCGAAGGATTGTGTGAAGCGTTTGTTGCATTTGTACTCAAGAATTCTTGATGCTATACTTAAATGTCCGCCATAATTAGACGTTCATTTGATTGGTTTATTTAAGCAGATTAGATGTGTATTTGACTCGTCTGTTGATTAGAAGCTAGGTCTTTTTCTTTTTTTAATGTTAACTTCGTTTCATTTCTGTAAATGCTTTTACTAGTATATTCGAAGGGGTGCACAAAAAGCCCTTAAGACTGTTGGGCTATACAGTGCAAATTTGTAGTATGTTGGGTGAGGTATTTCCTACCAAAAATGTGCTGCTAGAAGTGGTGTCTCATAGACTGACACGAGTGTCGTGTTTAGTACTTATCTAAAGTTCCTGGTACCTACAACAAAAAAATGTTACTACAATGATACACTTCTTTACAAGCAGTATTCTGAATAAACTAATGAGGTCCTTTAAAAACTGTCTATTAACACTCTTACGACCAATCATTTTGAAATTTTAGTGACATGAATGATTGTGACCTCTATGTACAAAAAATATTGTTTTCTTTATAGACAATCCCTTATAATATAACTCTTCTTCTTTTTTACATCTATGATAAAGAGTCTAATTGGTGGTGTTTTTGACATAGCAATCTTGGTCCAGGAGTTCCTTGCATTGAGCCCTACCATGAGTGTTTCACGGTCTTTTTTACTAATTGCACTTTCAACATGCCGCATTGAGCTCCTCATGAATTGTTGGGGAAAAATTGGCTAGAAGCCAATTGCTTCCACATCTGATAGAAACAACATTGGTTGATTCCATACATCTCTCTGACTTAGCGGGCGATTTGGTTTCTAGAATGTTTACATCCGAGTTTAAAATCCCAGTTTATTATATCAACTTTTCCTGAATATTAGAATTCAAAAAACTGATGAAAAATGAGCACTTGGCTGGCTAATTTGACATCTTAATTTGAGAATTTATGTTTGTGCTGGTAACTTGTTTCTTCTCGGAACATTTGAAATTTTCATAAATCATTTTACTGATATTATTGGATGATATTGATCTATTATTGTAACAACTTGATAGGATGTCCGGTGAGCGCCAGGAGGTGAGCCATGAAGCTGAATAATTTTCAGTGACTAGACTCCACAAAGATAGTATACAAAAGATTATGTACTATTAATACAAGGAGGTCACAATTATCTTCTAACCTCTAGACCTTAAATCGACCTTAAATCGGGTGGCTTGGGGCATGCCATTGATAGAACTCAAAGTTCTAAAGAGTTTTATGGATTTTGTGACATTCCAAACTATTAGATTTCTCATCGGTGATCGCAACGGTTTTGTGCCAAATTAATGTTCATGCAGAATATAATCCATTCCATAAAAGGGATCTTCCACCATTAAATTTGAACCATGCAAACACATAAAACTTTACATTGCAAGATCGAATTGCATATTATGGGGCCATTACCTTTTGTACTAAAAAGATCATAAATACTCTAATGTTATGTAAAATTTGAGAGTTAGGGTTTGTCCATTCTCCACACGTCCTATAATTGTATTTTTATTTTTTTAAGACTTCGAGTATGGTTGATGATATTACTTCTAATCCTTCGATTTCACATGACAACTAAAGTGGTTGTGACTTTTTTACACTATAGGTCGACTCTTGGACATAGGTCAACTCTTGGACATGCTTTCCCCACCAAAATAACCACCAATTGGCTGGGCATTCGAAATTAATAGCCAAGAGATTCCCATGCTCTTTGCCAATAAGTTCCTTATCCTATTAATGAATTATTAAAAGTCCATGCGTTTTAGTATCCCAAATCCTTTGAACACAATGGAAAATTGATTGTGGAGTTGACACCATGTGCTGCTCTTTTTGCAAATCCCTTGATGAAATGTTTTTTTGGTGGTTGAAACATGGTTTCCTTTGATGCATTAGTTAGAGATGCCAGTTTGGGAAAGTCCATTAAATTAACCTAGCTGGATCATAGAGTGTAGTCGCATTGTGAATTTGGAAGCCCATCTAAATTATTCCTTCCAAACATTTGCATTAAACAAACTATTGGATTGGATATTAAAGCCACATGCTGCAAATCAATCTAATCTATTGTAGGCATGTAGCAATACTTTTTTTTTTGGTAATTCAATAGGAAAGACATGCCTCTACCAGTTATAAATAGTTTAGGCATTAGTTTTTTCAAGGTGTTAATGCAGTGGTATTAATGGAAATGAAAACCACAACGTGATGACTAGGTGTAGGGTGCTACCACCACAACCCCAGTTTATTTCCCTTAAAGAGAATACTTCACCTGTCAAGGATCATTTCCACACCTCATGTCATGTTTGCAAAAAGACATATGAGGAGCAAGGTATCTATTTTATTAAGTCATGTGATGATTGCCTCTTAGTATGAGAACATCTATCTTTTCTATGATGCTTCTTTCCATATTGATACTTTCAAATACATTTTTAGCACCTAAACCTCTCGTTGCCATTTACAGCTGAGTTTTAACTGTGCATTAATGTAGAGGCCTTGTTTCTATGCGGCCAAGCCCGCATATGTAGCAATGTGGGTCTCTTTATAAATCTATTTTTGAGATAGATTTTAAGATTTAATTTTTAAGGACATGTAATATCTAACATGGTGTTAGAAATCATGAATATGAAAAAATAAATAAATTTTAAAAACTAAATATTATAATTCTAGTAAGAAAACATTTAGACTGTTAGTTTCTAGTGTTTTTATATGAAACACCGACTTGCATCCATCTTTGAGATGGATACTTTACACTTTCTGGACTTTATATGTAGAAATGCGGTCTAGCCCACATGAAAATTTTTTCCTAATGTATCTATTTTGTCTTCCCATTTAAATGCCATGGTTGGTTTTAGAAGGGATATTTTGCTTTGTTTTCTTCAATGTGAGACATTTGTATTTCCTAATTTGTCGCATCGAATGAACACATGTTCCGCCGGACTCTGACTCATGGGCTTGCCGTTAGAACGTTAAGGCTGTAACACAACAAATTTGGGCATGAATTCCAACTTATGTACCTAATAATACAATGAACATGCAGATTCCCTTGAATACAAGTCATTATCGAATAGTAGATCAATAAATATATTTCAAATAAGTTTTTAATTTTTTTTCGAAAACGATAAAAGTCGACGTGTAACAAATTTTCTTTTTATTCACATTTATGGCGTAGGAAATTTGAAGACCATGCTTTTTGGCTGTAGGAAGCAGGAATCTAACAATTCCTTTTGAAGTTTCCAATAAAAACTTGAATAGCACGAGTAATTGTTGGTGAAAGAAACACAAAAGGGTGCGGTTTGTATAAGGCAGATGCCCTAAACAATCAAAGTAAGGTGCACTTTCAAATAGTGTCAAATCATATTGTTTCAGTACAATAAATCTTTGTGATGTCCTGAAAATTTATTTTCATCTCCAATTATAAAACTTAAAGATTAAAAAATATTGTAGATCAAGCTCTTTGAACATGTCAAAATCTTAAAAATTAACAGTCTAGATAATACATTATAAGATGCACATTTTCTAAGATTTAAAATCTACTTTTTCTCATTTCCATACATATATTGAGGTCGAGATGATAGAATTGAGGGTTTTTCAGCATCCAAACAATATGTTCTAGTGAATTTTTTAGGTTTAGGGCCTTGCCCTTATATAAACTTTTTCCTACTCATAATGCATGTAGTTTCTCAAATTTTCACTCAAGAGTACGGATTTTGAAATGTTCATTTGTGCCCCTCTCCCTACATAGATCATGATAACCTAGATCATCTAATAGAGTTCCATTCAGGTCTACCACATTTGGCCTTGTTGGGCATCATCATCATCAAAATGTATATTCAAGACCGATATGTTAGGTACATCGTTGGAGATATTATTTGTACACCATTCGTATTGTGCACTACCTACTATAACAATGGTTTACATCACCAATATGGTATATTGGCTTCTACACACAGGATTTTCCATCGTATTTCCTTTTCGGGGCTCCATTGAGCTGGCTAGAATGGCTTCAATATGTAATAAAGTCCCCATGAGTTGCAAATTGGAATCGCCTCTTTTGGTTCCCAATAGAGCCAAAGGGGACCTCTATACATTTATCCCCACATATGTGAATTATATGTGTTTGGAGACCGACAATTATATAGCCTTTCTTTGATGGTTGGGAGTGTGAGAAAAATATTGAATTTCATTATATTTAAGAGCCCCCCCCCCCCCAGAGCCAATCAAATTGTGTAGAAGACCTCAAATTTATAGGGTTACAAAACTGTGTAGTATTGCTGAGAGAAACATATGCAATAAACTACCTTCCTAGTTCTTACTATGGGTGTACAAAAGAAGAGACAAAATATTGTACACAAAAAATACATATAGATTTATTTAACTTCACATTCGCCCTCAAACTCAAAATGCTTTAAGGGAGAGCAGCTGGAGTTTGGACAATAAGTTACGAAACTAAGCAGTTGGATCTATGAATCAGGGCTCTGAATGGTGCCACTAAGACTTAAAGACAGAAGGCCAGGACATATCAAGCTCAAACGACGACATATCAGCAAGCCTCAGAAATATAAACAAGAATAGAGCAGACTCGAGTAGCGGCATATCAACAAACCTAAAAAACGAACGGCAAGACCATGACATGGTTGAGCAATAGTAGATCAACATAGTTCAACAGCAGACAAAGACTTCAAATCTGGGCATAACTAAAAGCACGGGTTTTGGTAAGAGAATTAGTAATATTTTTTATTAAAGCGCTGCAGTTGTCACAACTTTCCAATCTTTGAAATCCGAAGGAGAGATCTTCAACAGCTTGATGGAGAAAAATCGCTAGACCCACTAGGGAAATCAGGCACCCAAGGGTCGTCCATGCGCCGTTTATTTGTTTATTTATTTATTCCATTGGTAAGTTGTTTCAGCATCAGTTTTCAATGGAATGTTTTAAGGGTGGTCGCGGTAGTCCGATTCATGAGTGCTTTTCAATGGTAGTTTCGATAGGTAGTGTTTTTATCCATACGAGGATGAAAAAGATGTAGCGACTAAACTAGGAGATCTCAGAACATATGGTTTTTTGGGTATTTTTTATTTTTTTTTTGATTTTTTTCTTTCATGGTCATTGGTTTCAGCTATTTTTCGATGCCAGTTTTTCCAAGCAATTTTTCATTGATGGTTTTTAGAAGCAGTTTTCAGAAATAGAACGGTTTTGATAGATCCAAGTAGTGGTTGAGGGAGGTATAGGATCCAGGTGGTTGAAGATCTGGGTAGTGGTTGAGGGAGGTATAGGATCCAGGTGGTTGAAGATCTGGGTGAGTGGCCATGGGAGATCTAAGTGGCTGGACGAGTGGTTGAGGGACCTCTAGGATTTGGGTGTTCAGGAAAGTAGTTGAGAGGCAAATAGCAGAGGGGGTTTTAGCTAACATATTAAATAATTTATATTGTAATAAGTTATTTGGACAATTTATTTTCAAGATTTTGAAGTGTTTATAGATTTGCTCATTTGCATCATTTTTTAAATTTCAAATTTCGCAATTAAGGTTGAACATAGGCTTTCAGCCGGTTTCCAAGACTGAAACTACATCTCCCAACAAAATCTACAGGTGCGCCTTACTTGTATGGTTTATGGTGAGCATCTTACACAAACCTCACCATGTGGAGAATATGTTCATTTACTATAGAATCAAAGAAACAATAGAAAACCACATAGAACGATGCAGTTGACGGACGCCTCCGTAGGAGTAGAGGTTAGGTGCCCTTCAAATTTTATTATTTCAAATTTTATTATGGTATATAATTTCGATGTAAAATGTTATTAGGATTATCTCAAAATCTATTTTTATATCTAATTATAAAATTTTAAAATTAAAAAATGGTTAAAATCAAGTAGATCTATAAACATATGAAAATCTTGAAACTGGACGGTGTAGATAATATGTTGTAAAATGCACTATTTCTGAGACTTAAAATATTTTTATTTTTCATAGTCATACATCTCGATGTACATCGAGATGATCAATCAAAGGGTTTTTCAACATTAAAACTTCCTTTTTCGATGGATTTTTTAGCGGCATCCTTAGTTCTACGTTATAAGGTAGCATCCTTATATAAACTTTTTCCTTCATAGAATTATTAAACCTTTTAAATTTGTGAACTTGTTATTTATGACATGGCAATTAAACCTTATATAGAATAACAACTTGGAAATAGGTATGCGTTTACTAGAACCAAGGTCCATATTATGGACGGTCTTTGGGGAATCACAAATCCAATGTTTTATGAAAATCATGTATATTAATTCCAAGATTTAAAATTCAAATCTCCTATTTTATGTCCCAACTCTACAAAAAAAAAAGAGAGTAATGATCATATGAGACCCTCCCACACATTGAAGGGCTAAGCGCATGATCGATTATTTCGAATGTTCTCATGCCGTATGACAATAAGGACATTTCGTTCTTCGAAAATCATTTCGCTTGAGAAGCATACGCTCTAGAGAAGCGTCAACCACCGATTGGTTCTTTCAAACCAGAAAGACACATCGCCACCCAAAGAATCACCGTTAAATTTGACATAGATATCTAAAAAAGTCAAGTCTCACACACATGTGATAACTTTTATAGAGATATGCGTAAAATTTAATGATGATCTTTTGGGGTCCTACACACATGGGTGTGGGAGGGTCTTATAGGATCATTACTCAAAAAAAAAAATAGATATAATTTATTTGTCAAATAATCAATATGTTATTCATTTTCAATTATTCTAATTAGTTTTTAGAAAATGGATAAGTGACGTGGATCACTTATCCAAAAAACTGGTCTGGATCAGTGGTCTGGATCATCGACCTAGCTGGGTGAAAAACCAATAAAAGAAATAAAAAGAGGGAAGAAATAAAAAATTGAAAACATAATAAAAATAAAATATGAGGTTGGATCGGCCGGTTCCTTGTTATAACCGACTGTTTATGTCAGAGAACTAGATAGTTATTAATGAGAACTAATTGGTTTCCCGTTCTCGAGATATGTCGGGAAGAGATCAGCCCCACCTATCATTGATCCAGATCAAGCAATTCTAATTCGGATTAGCCTTGTTTAAAACACCGATCCTAACTTATGCTAGGTTGATAAGGTTACGGTGTTTTACGGTATACACTATTCATTTAGTTGAACTGTGTAGATTTGAATATGTTTTTTAAGGTAGTGTAAAAAAAGTGACAGGTTGTTTTAGATATAATAAAATCTACACCATTCAAAATAGATGGTGTGGATTAATGCAAACTTATTTCTATAATTAAGGAAACATCCTTATACAGAGTGTATTCCTCAAGTAATCATCACTTAGATGTATTTAGTCAAATAACGTTTTTATCTTAAAATAGAAAAAAATTATTTTATTTTATTTAATAATTCACTTTTATTTTATATTAAAAAATGATCTTCTAAGACCTTCATCCACTCATGTGAGGGATCTTAAAGGATCACAATTAAATTTAACTTGAATTTATAGAAAAGTCAAGCCCTACACCCATGTGATAACTTTTTTAGAGATCCGTATCAGTGACATGAGAAGGAGAGAAGGTCTTATATTATTCTTTTATATTTTATATGCACTCTAAACAGGAAAAGAAAAATTTTGTATTTTTATTTAATAATCGGCTTTTATTGCGTCATCAGAGTTGAGGAAGCTCGTGAGGTCCTAAAACTCTAAATTTCCTCACACCTTCTCACACGTGCGAAATCCATGGCCGCGTCAGCTAGTTCCCGGATATTACACGTGTCACGTCCGACGTGTAAAAAATGCGAGAGCGGCGTGTATTGTCGCGTTGGAAATTTTACCCCTCAGCCCCTCTCCCTCTCTCTAAAATCTCTCTCTCTCTCTCTCTAAACTCCCTCTTTCTCTCTCCTCCAATAAATCCCTTTCTCTAAATTTATTGCTTCTCTCTTTACGCGGAAAACGCAGTCTCCCTCCCTGCAACTTCGACGCCATTCCCTGTGGCTTTCATTGTGATATCATCTAAACCTAACCCTAATTTCAACCTCGTACTCTCTAAACCCTAGCCCCTACCGGGAGGAATCTCAGAAATAAACCTCAATCAGGCATAAATCATCACTATTTCTCTCTCTACTGCTCCATTCTTTGTGCCTGTACAGCTACCACTCTCTCTCTCTCTTTCTCTATAAATATAATATACCTCGTTCTCTCTATCTATGGCCCTGTTTTACCTGTTTTATTGACTGTAACTGGGTTCGTAATTAAAGTGCAGGTTTTTTCCAAGGCCTTGCCTATAAGATTGTTTACAGAGGTGTACAATCAATAAAGTAAGGTTTAGAGAGAGAAACATGTACACTTTGAACTATCTGGGTTTTTGCTTTTGCAGAGCCATTATTCTTATATGCGAGGAGGGGGAGGGGTATTAAAACCTAGATGCACAGTTAATCGAGAGACTAGGTTTTTCTAATAATGGTGGAGCCTGACTCCATTGCTGTGGCCGTGGAGAACCGCGCTCTAACGCTAAAACCTTCGTATGAAACCCTGGATGCAGCTTCCGGAACTGAGATTGAGGGGGAAATTAGGGTTTCACAGTGTGGTGGTGATAGCATAGAGAGAGAAGAGAAGGGCGGATCAGAGACTGGTGGAGCGAGGGCGGAGAGAGAAGAGAAAGGGGGATCAAAAGGTGGTGGTTTTGTGTGGAAAAAACAGAGTGAGAAACCTGGTGAGTTTCAGGTTATGGGGGCCGAAGCTTGGCCTGCTCTCACTGATGCGCGGCCCAAAACCATGGAAGGTTCAAAGCCTGGTGGTCATGTTGTTCCACCTCCTGTTCAGGTAGGCTGATAAACTCCAGAGTTTCTATTGCATTGTGTGTATAGTTTCTTTTAATGTATGCAACTGTGTAACTTGATTTTATTTGTTGTATTTTGTTTTGTTTTCTTTTTGAGTAAGGGTAACTTTTTATAAATTAAGAAAATTTACTTAGTATTTAGTTCTAAAGATGGCATCCCACAAGTTGGGTGCTCAGTGTAGAATATTAACAGTATCGATCGAGAGAGCAGAAGTAGTAGGGGGGATAGGGGAACTACAATATCAGGCTAACAGCGCCCAATAAACCCAAAAACCCAAAAATCCAATAGTCGAGAGATTATATGCCTGGAAAAATCTCTGTTATAGGAAAATAGTGCCTGCAGGTGACAAGCGCTAGAGGAACATCTCCCGCACTTAGAAGGTTGGATTGTAGCCTGCAACGGCGTTCTTGTGATACCTCTTGATGAGTATGCGTAGGGAATGACGATTAACAGTGAGTGGGGATGCTTCTCATTGGACAAAGGTGGCTTCCTGGCAAAGTTTCTTTCTCAGGCAAGTATTGTCAAAGGCTGATGCTGTTCACGGTGTAGGGATGCTGGCGGATATCTTCTGGCGAAAGTTGGTCCACCAAGGGGTGGCATAGTAAGATCCTCAGGGGTGTTATGAGAGGAGGCACAAAGAGAGAAAAGTGGCAAAAGATGGGGGCAATAAAAGAGAGTAATTTAAGGTGGTGGAGTGGATTATGTGGTGAATACAAAATTGGTGCACTTAAATATAATATTTGACCATAGTTTTATAAAATCTTCATGGTTTTATTTTTATTTTCATTCAAAAGCTGTCTGTTAAACCAAGAAAGCTTAATAATACAAGGAAATTATTCGTTATATAATCTGCAGCATGATCCTTATATGCCAATATCTAATGTGTTATAGGCAGAGTTTTATTTCTCAATTGAGCCTGGGAGCCTGCATATCAGAAACAAGAGAAAGAACTGCGAGCCTAAGATAGAGGGGATAATTTTCTACTTTAATAAGTAGATATAATAAGACAATTATCGTACAATCTGAACTTCAAAGCATGTTGCATAGTAACATTGTTTTGTAAGGTTCATTTTATTTATTTCTGTTGCTTTAAGATCATTAAATAATCATTAATAGCAGGGACACTAGTGGTGCAACGTGAGACACATGTGAAGCTATTATTCATATTTGAAGTGCGACTGTAGAATATGAAAATCCATTTAACCCCCTCAGTTTTTTATTTATTTTAAATGTACAATCTATTATGAATATGAGTAAATTTAGGTTAACCCATGAAAGAAATCTAGTTTTCGAATGGCTGTATCAAACTTGTTTTATACACATACTTATTCTTGATGGTTGAAATTGTGTTTTCTACATGATTTTCGACATGTCTTAGCCGGTTCCTATTTATGCTATAAGGCATTAGTTTAAGGAGGCTCTTTAGAGAATGGGTTGGGGCCTTGGTGGTAGTACCAACGAGCCCTCTGATGAAGTCTCTGACTCTATTCTCACCAAAGGGTAGGGGCTTAAATCATCACCGATATTTTTTTTTTTAAGGAGGCTCTTTAAGGGTTTATAAAAAGCATATTATCGATTGAAGAGGGTAAAAGCGTTTGCATACGATGGAAAATTTACATCCATTGTGCTTTCAGTTGCATGCATGTATTTATTGGGCTTATTCTATTACTATGAAGCATTGAGCGAAATGCATGTATCAAAGAGTGTTTGTTTTCCTTCAAATACTGCTAAATATTCAATATGCATGCTTCCACTCCTCTTGGAGCCAAACCACATGGGATAATGGATACTAAACTACATGGGATAATGGATACTTGTTCCATACTAAGATGGCCACTCTATTGGCTGTTTACCATAAAACAACATATCAAGTCCAATTAACTGTTCTTGTAGACATCATTAAACCTGTTTTCAATCTAATGGTGCCTATTACATTATCAAAAAAGAAAATCTAATGGTGCCTATTTTATATGAAGAATAATTTTTGGAGCTTTTCATTGTGCTTCTGCTTGCTAACCCGATGAATTGATTCTCCTCTTGTAGGGACCGGTTCCACCGCAACGTCCTTCACAAAAACCAGATGGGTATGGGAATCCAAACACCTTTGGTGGGCATGCGCCTCCACATCATCAGAAACCAGGTTCGAAGCGCAATAATCCCCCTGCAAATGGTGCATCTCACTTTCCTCCTCCTCCTCCTCCCATGTCCTATCCTGCACCAGTGTCCACTGTTTTCCCCATGGTTGTACAACCCTCACATATGCCTGTCCATGAATATGTATTCCCCCCTTGTCCTCCCCCTCAATTGATCGCAAACCCCGAGCCTCATATGGGTAGCTCTGCCCTGGAGATTCCATTGAAAGGCTTTACTGCACCTCCACAAGGGGGCAGTATTGATGCCACTAGGAACTTCCAGCCATTGCCACGTGGTGATTCGAATGCTTACTCGGGAAACTATGGCAGGCGAAATCATCCGCAAGAGCCAGGTGCTGGTGGTCGTTATAACCATTCTTGGCGTCACCATCGTGGTTTCAATCCTAGAGAGAATATGAATATGCAACAAGGTCATGGGCCGAGGAATTTTGTTAGGTCACCTCAGCCTCCACCACCAATTCCACCTTTTATTGGTTCGGTTTCTGGCTTCATGAATGGACCTGGTTTCCATGGTAAGTAACATTCTGAATTGTTTTTTTCTTTCTTTCTTGATGATCTTCGCCTTACTTTTAGCTCATTTCTATCTTGATTTTGGACCAGATATTGTGACGGGATCATATTGTCAAGTTTGATTTATTCTTACAATTTTTTTTTAAGCCTAATTGTGTTTCCCTTCTCTGTGTGAAGCTCCTCCTATGTACTTTCTTCATGCTCCTCCGCCTGACCCTATGCGGGCCCCCCGCTACTTCCCACATCCTACACCCCCTGGTGTAGTCATGCTGGCACCTGAGACACATCAGTTGAGGGCAAATGTAGTCAAGCAAATCGAATACTATTTCAGGTGAAACCTTTGTTTCTGAATAGATCATGCTGCATTAACTATAAGAAAAATGATGTTTCATTGTTTGCTGCATAGTTATGGTCTTATGGAAAACAAAATGGTGCTGTATTTCTTTTCACCTGATTGCAAGTATTTGGATCAATATGTGAAGATATTTTGCGTTTGTGATGCTAATTAACTCAGTTTTTTTCTGTAGTGTTGATAACTTGTGCAGGGACTTCTTCTTACGTTCGAAGATGGATGACCAAGGATGGGTTCCGATTTCAATCATTGCAAATTTTAATAGGGTAATTTTTTTTTGTTGCCCCAAGCTACCTTTTGAAAGGAATTAGTGGTTTAGAAATTCTATTTCCTCTAGAGACTGGTATCCAAGCCTGTTTTGGGTTGCATTTGGTAGTTCTTATGTCATTTCTTTTACCATTTGAGTAGTTTGAAGAGATTCTTAGAACTGGCAGCCTCGGGTGTATCTTACTGCAGGTGAAGAAAATGACAACAAATATTCCATTTATTCTTGATGCATTGCGAAACTCGGATGAGGTTGAATTGCAGGTTAGATATCTCTGATCTTCTGCATCTTTTCATGCTTTTCCTTTTCTGGGTCATGTTTCAATCATTGTTTTGCAGTCAGGATGCATCTCATGCATCTTCTTTTCACCCTTTGTTTCGATTTTTTTTATGTTTTTTTCTTATATGGTTATTTGATATCATGACAGGGTGACAAAATTAGGAAGCGCCATGATGGTCCAAGCTGGCACCTTCCTCCCGATCACTGTAAGTCTATCCTGAGCAATTATGCACCTCAGGGCCCAGTTGATGGGAAGGCAGCTGACCATTTGAAGTATGAACAACCAGAAGAAGTTTCATCAACTAGTGAAAGTCACAATGCAGATTTGCACCCACCGGAACATACTTCTGAAAATGCATCAGAGTCTCCTAATGAGGATATGCCAGCTGGTGAAAGCTGTGTAACCAAAAATCTAGGTGGTGGAGCTGCCAATGGCTTTTCAGATAAGGATACACTTGAAAGTAATCCTGATCACAAGAATATCAATATGAATAATGGTATTGGCTTGGGAAATTCTGAGGGCAATGGCAATGCTTCAGGAGATTTTGATCCTAAAATTCAAAATGTTGTCATGGCTTCAGAGTCTGTCCCTGCTATACCGAAAAGAGGTGGACTCTCAACAGCTTTTGCTGAGGCAACCACGTTTAGGGAAGAGCAGAGTACGTTTCTGCTTGACGAAGAGTTGGAATTAGAGCATGCAAGTAGAAAAGATCATCTTTCCCCTGGTAAAAGGTAATCAAACTGCTTTACAATATTTGATCCATTGGATCTTTGTTTTGTTGGTTCTCAAATCAGAGAGTCTTTTGTTTGATTCTCAAATGTCTCATTTATCCATGTAATCTTTCTATCTTTTGGCAGATCTTTTTCTCCTGTATATTGTCAGTTAAGTTGCAGTTAATGCTTATTCTCCAGTTAATGCTTATTCTCTTTGTTTCTTATCCATCTTAGGATCTCTTTTATTAAATATTATCTATATCTCTTTCTAGGGGTGTTGGCTATGGGAACCTTTAATTTCAAAAAGCTAGAAGATATGTGCTCAAGATGTTGTTATCTTAAATATAACATTCTTATTTGCAAACTACGGCTGTTGGTATATTACGGACATACATATGTGGATATAAATATTCTGGTGTATGCAAAGTTAACATTTCTCAAAAAAAAATATTCTAGTGTATGCATGCACACATTCATACATGTATGTACTGATGTGCCTCTATGCATGCATGCATCCTTACAATGATGCATCCATGTAATGATGCATCATTTCCTTTTAAATATGCCATCCTTGTACTTCAGTATATTTATTTTGTTTGAGCACTTAAGACTTCTGTTGTTTCTCGTACTTTGTCTTTGGGAAGACTCAATAAATGACTGCGATCGGTATTTCATGCTCCTCTAATTATTTGGTTGGGTGCTTTTATTAGGTACAGGTTGGTAATGGGTTTTAATTGTTGTTGGTTTTTTTTTTTTAAATAAATGTAGGATGCACAATTGTATTCAGATTGATTAACAACGCTTTGGTTCACTGTCTATATCTGCTATTTTTCTGTTTGTGTATTCAAATCTCCTCAAGTCTCGTTTGCCCTGGAATTCACATCAGTTTCGTCCAATGCGAATTTTATTAATTTTAGTTCTAATTCCTTTGTGGTGAGATTGTAAAGAACCACTGAATCCAAGATCTAGGCACTTCCTAGTGGCCTTGCAATTTTTTTTTTTTTTTTTTGGAGATTTAGTGACAAGATCTTGCATGTTATGTGCCAACAGTCTCTTGTACCCTTACCCGCCCCTGCCATAAGAATAAGAATCATAGAGCTGTCTTAACTTTCTAACAAGCTCATGTGAAGCTCTGAGAAGGCTATCAAAAGGTCCAATTCTATCATTCAAAGGCTTGGGGAAATCCTTCCTTGCTGGACAATCTATCCCACATGGCATGGTGCGTTCTACTGCTCTTCATTAAGAGGCGTACTCTGCTCCATTATGTGCACTCTTCTTTCTGAGATCTTCAAGAAACTAAGCAAATTTAGGAATTTGGCATCCTTTATCCTTCTGATTTGACTTCACTGAATTTCCTTTCTTTGTGCTACCATTGGAGGCAATAAATATCATGGCTTCACCTCTCAACTGGACTTTTGGCTCTACGAGATCTTTTTTTGGTTCTCTCCATTAAGCCGTTATGAGGTAAAGTACATATTTGTCTTTAATGGCCTCCCTTAATCCGAGATGCAGGCTCTATAATATGGGAGCTTGGAAGATGACACTGAATGTTGGTCTTTAAAGAGATCCTTATGGAGAATGTCAGCAATTTGTGAAGATGAAGTAAACAGAATGTGGTCTTGAGCATAGTTAGTAGGATCTCCTAAGGTTCTTGCCCCATCTCTGGAAGCTCGATTCTGCACTTGGGACAAGGGATCTTGATTCTAGAATTTTATAAATTTAGGGATCTTGATCTGCAAAATTGGGGATCTAGATCCCTCTCATCCAATGAAGGGTGCATGAGTAAATGGATTCGAGTTTCTTTTACATTGGTACAAAAGATCACTAACACATTTCGAGTCTCATGCCCCGACCACCCCCTCTTCTCCCACCCATCCTCTTTCTAACTCCCCAGTTCATAATCTCTCTCTCTCTCTCTGTGCAAGAGCATATTTCTCTAAAGTTTATGAAATCTGAATGTGCTTTTAGCATAGAGATCGACTAGTTGGCAAACAATCCTAATGCCCCCACATTTACTCAAAAAAAAAAAAACACAATCCTAGTGCTCACAACGACAACCAATGGGGAATCGAGTTTCTTTTACATTGGTACAAAAGATCTCCAGCACATTTTGAGTTTCATGCACGGACCGCCCCACTTTTCCCCCACCCATCCTCTCTCTAACTCCCTAATCCATAATCTCTCTCTCTCTCTATTCAAGAGCGTAATTCTCAAAAATTTCTAAAATCTGAATTGGCTTTCGGTATAGAGATCAACTAGTTGAGAAACAATCTTAATGCCCACAATGTCAACCAGGGTTTGAAGCTTGAAGTTCGAACGTTGAACTTGTAGGTCATGAAAATAAACACCTTGACATACAAGCTGCTGCCGTGTTATGAAGCTGTAGATGAAGGAGAGCAGCTGAAGTTGTGCCATGTCCTGCCCTAAATCCTTTTCATTTCACCTACTGGAAGCTCTATAAGCTTTATACAATTAATCTTTGTTTCTAATGCCCTTTTGTTGACCATATCCACTATTACAAATACCTTTGCAGGTTGGCCCCTTCTACGCTTCTGGAATCTTTTTTTTGCCTTTGAATCTGGAGAGCATTTGACCAGTTGCATGCCAATCACATGTAAGTGAAAGGACCCAAATAAGGGATAACAAGGACACCACATTTCCATCAAACACTATATCTTTTTTCATGCCCGAGGACTGAAATTTGAATCCTTATTTTGGTTTTCAGTTTCACTTCTCACTTATGAAATACTCTCCAATGATAACAAAATTAACAATCTAAAAAATAGGATTTTGTAGTTATTGATATTTTGGATTTAGAATTCAAAAAAAAATTAATCATATCGTTCCAACGCACTTCGTTCCTGAGCTAGAGTACCCTACTTGGTGAAGCTTGAGTTAAGCTGGATGGACTTCGATCCCATATGCTTCAGTCATTCGATTTTGGACAATTTTGGATCAGGCTCCTGCCATATTGGGATTATGGTTCTGTTACATTGTGTATGGATCTGAATCCCTATGCGACAGATCTTTTTGCATCTCTCGATCCCACAGTCCCCGATTTGAGATTTGACCTTTCTTCATAACGTGCTAACAATGTTCTTTGGGATATTACTTCCTCTTTAATATTAGAGGAGTAGTATTTAATGTGCTTATTATGAGCATGAAAATTTTAAACGTATAAGGAAAGGTGAAAAACTTGTTGCTGGCCTGTATATTCCCCAATTGTTGTAAAAAATATAGCAAAGAAGTTAAGGGGGAAGAAAGAAAACAAAAAACTTGCAATAGACCTCATGGCCATATAAGCTCAATGATAGTACTGGATATGATGCTTGTGGTCATCAATCATCATCAAAGTTGGAGTGAACTAGTAACATTGGGGCCTTGGTTATGGCTTCTCTGGTGCCAGAATGGGCGAACTATTACTGGGAAAATGTAGATTTCTCCGCCACTAATGTTTTGATATATGTTTTGTATGGAACCCAGTGTTTCAAAAAGTGCTAGGCGGCACCTAGGCGGTCAGGGGCATCCAGAACCTGGGCCGCCCAGTAGAACTTTTTTTTTAGTTCTCTTTCTCAAAAATAGCCTTCAAAAACCCACAATTTTACCCATTTAGTATTAAAAAGATGAGCCAAAAATACCCTCAAGGAGCCGCAATTCTGCCCTTGAGCGGGCCGCAGGCCTTGGGCGGCCCCCTGGGCGGGTTCCCGGGCGCCTAGGCGGGCGCCCAGGGATATCCGCCTAATTTGGTCGCCTAGGCCTTGGTGATGTGCCCAAGCCTTCTGGACCGCCTACGCGTTGGGCGGTCTGCTTTTTAAAACACTGATGGAACCATGAAGATTTGGTGGAGCTTTGCTTTGTTTTGGGTTTTATAGTTTTCATGCTAATCTTCTTCAACACTCTTCGACTGATTTCTTCAGGAATGCTAAGTTTATTGGGGATTTTTCGTTGGAAAATCGAGGGGAACATTTTCACGATCATTTTGCAGTAAAACGTGTGACAAAGGACCTCTGATCGGCCAAGTTATGGCTTTGGCAAATTGCCACGAACCCAAAAAATTCTGCTATACATAAGTTTTGCCCACTTGTAAGCCTCGGATGACCGTCGATCTGGACCCCAATCGTGATTTTCTTACGTCATCTCGAAGGTATTCGAGTCACGATTGAAATGCACTAAATTTGAGAGTTGATGGCCGGATGTCGAGTTATAGCCGAAGAAGCGCGAGGAGGTCACACAAACTGGTTTTTTCCCGAACTTCAAAACTTGCCGACTTCTCTTTAGGATTTCTTTTTATCCAATCGACGATCATGTGCATGGCCTATACCAAAAGAATGTGCTCGTTGAGGAGCATGGCATATCCAAATTTCAGCACGGCTTGTGGATCGAGAGATCCAAGGGCTCAAAGTATACCCAATTTTGAAGAAGTGTTGCAGGATTTTACTACTTTTGGTAACTGGTATAAGCTTTAAAATCCTGAATAGTATGAAAACAGCCCTTTTTTGGTAGTGGGGCCTAGCAAGTTCCGTTTGGCGTGAAACTCAAGAGTTAAGGTTTTTCTGGCTTTCTTAGTTCATCCGTGATAGTCTTGAGCCACTGAGGTCAAAGTTTTAGGAGTTTATTGTATTCTTTCTCATGTCCATTTTTGTACACCTATGGTGTACGATACTCCTTTATCTCATCTTCCTCGTTTCTCCTTGTTGTGACGCTCGATTGGGCTGAAATTTGGGGGGTATCTTTAGGTCAGTGGGGCCCACCTTTGTGCTCTTTTTAGGGCCAAAATGAGGTCATATGGGAGCTTTTCAAAATACGGGCTTTATTACGCGCTCCATGACTAGAAAGGCTTTGGGGTCCATGGTTTTTATTGGGCGGGTCCTGGGACGTAGAAAAGCAGGGGCCCTGGTGTTTTGAGGGCTTGGATGGGCTTTAAGAGGGGGAGGGGTTGGGGGGCAAATACATGCCTTTTTAGGTGTATTTGGTGCCTAAGAGCCTTGGTTGCAACCGTCTCCTGTGCTATTCGCATGGAGGCGTGGTGCTTCAAAAATGAGTGCAAACATAGTGACTTGGGCGAGCCATCTTGGCTTCGCTCGAATCATGTCCCAGCCATAGACTGTATAAACCATGGAATAAGAAAAATTAGTATTATTGATTGGAAAATTATAGAATCTGAAAATTTTTGGAAATAGAAATATCGTAAAATCATAAACAACCAAGGACCCGGTTTCTATGCGGCCAAGCTTGCATACGCAGAAATGCGGGCCTCTTAATAAATCCATTTTTGAGATG